AAGCTTTCCAAACTGGGGGAAAATGGTGTAGATTATTATTATTATTATTATTATTATTATTATTATTATTATTATTATTATTATTATTATTATTTAAATTATTATTATTATTTAGTGGCTTGGTGGACAAGTTAATGTTTAGGGTTAGGAGTCTTATATAAAGGACTCCCTCTAGTTTATTTTCCTAGGTTGTTTATGAATGAAAATATGAATTATATTGTGTTTAGATGTTCTTGAGATTGAGATCTCATTAATATCGTCCTACTCGTCATTAACATCCACATAGCTTCCCGAATTTCGTCGATACTTTTCGAAAGACCTTCAACCCTACGATCAACCCGATCAATTTGAAAGCCGAGATCATCTGTTCTTCGATCCAAATCTTCCAAATGAGCATCACGTTGGTCGTTGTCTCGTTTTGGCAGCATCTTGAATCGGTCTGACTGACTCGACGCAGGAAACCGTACGCTTCCCTACATCACTGTGCCATTTTGAATTCCCTTAGTATAAATAATCTAGGGTTTCCAGGCATGAGAATCACATGTAATTGTAGGGGTGAGAACCCGGCCATGCGGTCTAGGCAATTGAGCGAAAATGGAGTGGTTAATATAACTCAGCATCAACCTATATGACTTAGTAGTGCCTAAGGTCTAGAGAGATCTTAGACCATTGTATTTTGATTTCTAACTGAAGTACTATCACTGGATATTGTCGTTTTCAGTTCATAATTACGTTCAACATAATCTGTCGTATTTAATGGTATATAAAGTTGACATTCATGTTGTGTCATGTTGTATTCTTGTTATTCTTTCTTTCTCCCGTTTCATTTCTTAGTATTATCATTCCTACTCCCGTCATTTTATCATTGTTTCATGACTCTTAAATTTTTCATATGTTCATCTCTTATTGGTTTATGCTTCATCAGATGACAAAATTGGCAATTATACCATGCACTGTTCTTTTAGAGACCCTGTTCTTCCGAAAAATATTCAGGTCAGATCTTTGTATCATTATAATTCCAGATACCATGAATGGTTTGTTCTTCCATCTATGTAACGCAATTATTGTTACTTTCAATGTTTGTCATACTGGCAAGAATAAGTGTCTTTTTTAAACTGCAATTCAATTATTGGTCCTATTTACTAAGAAAAAAATTTTGGTTCCTATTTCCTATGATTTTGAACAAAAGTAGTGATTTTTATTTTAGATGGAAGCTTACTTCTTTTGTTCCGTCTACAAGGTATATATACATACATAATGCTAGTTGTTCAGCATGGTATCCTATCTAGAAAACACCACTGTTGCACGTCTACTTAATTGAATGGACTCTTGAAATTTTCTGCTAATTATGTTGATTAGATGATGTCACATTTGAAAGCTCTTAGAATAGCATAGATGGTGTATGTAATAAACTTACTGAAGGTTAACTAACTACATCATTCCCTCGTTCATTAAGAAAATCAATTAATTTCATGTACATTGGGCTATAAAATTGGTAATAAACCTTGTCGATGTCTTAGTACACATCAACATAGATGGTATATTACTTTTCATTCTTTTCGATTACATCAAATTTTGATGTGGGAGTATACATGGTACAACATGGAATTATTCTAGTATATCTCCGATTCCTGTTCCTTTTAATGAGCTGATATTTACTTCGATCACATATCGATGTGTTAAAGTATGAAATTTCTGTTTTGGCTGTTAATACATTCTTTACCGCCATTTTCAGTAGGAACGTCCAGGCATCCCTTGGTGTTCTTCTCCTGGGTGTTGGAATTGCGACCGTGACAGATCTGCAGCTCAATGTCCTGGGTTCCGTCCTGTCTCTACTTGCAGTTGTTACGACTTGTATTGCACAAATTGTATCCTCTGTTATTTTATTGCTCTTAGATTCCCTTCACGTGCAATCAAAACAATCATGCTTCCATTTATAGATAAAACTCTTTGACCATCTCAAAACAATCGGCACACTCACATTTTCAGTCCACCTTCCATGTTTCATTTGGGAAAAAATTCCGGGACAAAAAAGGCTACATTTCGTATGACTTGCTGATATATTCATTTTTTTATTGTTTTATTGAACCTGTGAGTGAGTAGTTTCTGGATCTTTCTTAACTTCGGTTACAATCAGATGACAAACACCATCCAGAAAAAGTTCAAAGTTTCTTCTACACAACTTCTGTACCAATCATGCCCCTATCAGGCAATCACTCTGTTTCTAACTGGACCGTTTGTAGATGGAATGCTCACAAACTTGAATGTATTTGCGTTCAATTATACCCCGAAAGTACTGGTGAGTACCGGAAAACTCTTTCCTGCTGCTGGCTCGTTGATAATATGGGCGCCTGACAATTTACGTTTTTCTCTTTGCAGGCATTTATTGTCCTATCATGTTTGATATCAGTATCCGTAAACTTCAGTACCTTTCTTGTGATTGGAAAAACTTCGCCAGTCACTTATCAGGTCTTAGGGCATTTGAAAACATGCCTTGTGCTGGCATTCGGTTATGTTCTTCTACGAGACCCCTTTAGTTGGCGGAACATTCTAGGCATCCTTATTGCTATAGTAGGAATGGTGCTATATTCGTATTATTGCACGATCGAGAGCCAGCAAAAGACCAATGCAGAAGCAGCACAGTTATCTCAGGTTATTTTAATCTCTCTGTAGTCAATGCATATCGAGGCAGTCACCGTTTAAGCACATAAATAATAATACTTTAAAAGTATCGCCAACTTTGGAAGTATGATTTTTCACCTTGAAAGCGATTCTTACATAAATTTCTGAAAAGTATTACTTCTTTACCCCTGGATTTGAGTAGTATGACCTCAGCATGTGACAATTCGGACATTATGAAAAGTATTACTTCTTTGAAGCATGATTGCCATCATTATATTATACATTATGAGGAAATTAATGTGCTAATTTTATTTATTTATTTATTTATTTTTTATTTTTTTGGTACATTATTGAAGGCTAAAGAAAATGAATCTGATCCTCTATTAAGTGTCGAAAATGGAGGTGGTAGTTTATCCGACTCGAGTGTTGCTAGAGCTCCAGGGTGGAATTCGAACAAGGACCTGCAGGCTTAGAACTTTGCCGGGTATCTTTTTTTTTTTAACCTTAGTTTAAAAATATGAGTGAAATAGTTATCGTCTCAGGGATGAAGGGTGTTCCTGCAAGGGGATACATCACTTGCTTCAGCCTCTTTTTTAGGTCTGTGTTTTCAGATAGAGTTATATTAATTATTGCTCGATTAGCAGTAATGCTAAAGGATGTCTTTTTTTTTTTTTGTTTTTTTGGAACAAATTTTGTATTTTTACAATAGGCATGCCAATATAATTGATAATTTTTAATTGTGGTTTTGTTTTTGTCTGAAGCAGATGCTGTAGCTTTGATGTGAATGTGTTTATTTATTTAAGAAAAGTTGGGTCTTTTAAAAGAGAAATTTACTTTATAAACCTACTAGTACAGAGCTCGTGCGATGCACGGATGCACAATTTTAGAGTCATGTATCCAGCTTTATAATTATATAAACGAATAAAGAAAAATATACATGATATATATAGTACCGGATATATTTATTTGGGGATTATTATATTATAAGATGCAATATTCAATAAAAGTTTTACAATACGCAGGAAAATTATACAATAAAATAGTATTCGACAAAGAAACAATCATATATTATTAAAGATCTCTTTGTACACAACATTATGAGTTTGATTATTGGGGAACTCCTCATTCTCACAAACTAATATCTTCAACCCCTTCTGTTAGTTACACGCGAAACAACAACATATCATTGGCCATGACTAAAGACATGTTTCTTTAGAAAAAGACCAACGTGGGATAAAGATTGTCCCTGACTCTTGTTTATGGACAGTGGTCATGACATACGAAACATGTACAAAAATATCTAAATACATACACGAAAATATAAAAAAAATTAAAAATATACGTTTCAAAGTTTGAAATTAAAAAAAAAAAAAATTAAATAATGTGACTTACAGTTTTATCATGCAGAACCATCTCGAGATATGATTTGTATGTGTTGTCCAGTCTTGGAAAAACATTCTCACAATTCAAACTCTGAGCATAGACCTATTGACTTGTTTGATTAAGCCAAATCCTTTATTCATTGTTTTGAATAAAAGTCTGATTCAGGATATTTTTTATTCGCATGATGTTGACAGTGAGAAAGATAATGACTCGATATTTTGAGATTTGTAATTTATAATGGGTAGAGTAGATATATAGTGATGTTAATATTTTTATGAAAAAAATCTGAATATACAAAAAACGGTTTGAACAAAATCAGTATAGATTTCCATACAATTAGATAATAAATAAAGTCTTTTTTTTATTTTAGTAAAGATTTTACGTACTTTTTTTTGACTTATCTGATGTTATAGAATTTTATTTCTTAACCGATTTTATGGGATGTAAGACAAATACAATTAGATGATTGAACAAAATCAGAACAAATTTTCATACAATTAGATAATAAGAAGGAATTAGATAAGAAATTTTGAATGTGCATTTGTTTAGTATAGATATAGACTTTACAATTTTTTACTTCACTGATTTTATGAGATTTGTTTTTGACTGAATCGATGTTTTGACGTAAAGATTTTAGGTATTTTTTTATTATAAAAATAAATAAAATAATTATATAAATTTATTTTTTTTAGTAAAGATGTTACGGGGTTTTTTTTTTTTCCTTAAACCGATTTTATGGGATATAAGACAAATAAATAAAATAATTAAATAAAACTAGTGAGAATCCCGTGCGATGCACGGGGAATTCGTAAAATAAAATATTTTTGCAAAAGTTTATTTTAACAATGTATTAGCCCGTTGATCCGTTTATATTAATATAAAGAACATTTTAACATATATATTTATTTTTTTATACAAAAAATAATAATTTCACATATTTTGGTTCATCATAATACTCAAATATTATTTTGTTTAAAATTTTATTGTCGTATAATGTCAATATTATTTATAACATTTATAGAAGTAATATTTCTTTTTTTAAATAATGATAAATATTTAATCTATATTAATATTATTTATTGATGTGATTTTTAAAAATATATAAGTAAATTTAATGTTTAATAGGAATGTGATAGATCTCGATATTTTAGGTGCAAATGTATGATATATATGTTCAAATATATGATATGAATATCTTGAGATACAAAA